CGGCGCCCCCCCCCGCCGGCGACACTGGCCGAGTTCACCCTCGGCTCCTCCGGGTCCAAAGACTTCTACGACGTAAGCCTGGTCGACGGCTACAACCTCCCCATGATCGTGGAAGGCAGTGGCTCCGGCAGCGCATGCGCCACCACCGGGTGCGTCTCCGACCTGAACCGGAACTGCCCGGCGGAGCTGAGGGTTAAAGGAGGCTCGGCTTGCCGGAGCGCCTGCGAGGCGTTCGGGACGGCGGAGTATTGCTGCAACGGCGCGTATGGTTCACCGGACACCTGCAAACCGACAATGTACTCACAAGTCTTCAAAACAGCTTGTCCGAAATCTTACAGTTACGCTTACGATGATGCCACGAGTACTTTCACCTGCAGTGACGGAGACTACACCATCACATTCTGTCCCAACTCCCCCAGGTGAGTTAACCAATTCATTGTCCAGAAATTCTCATAAAGATCATAGCTTGATGACGCTTTCTTTATCAGATAAGGCGTAATGAGAAATGTGTTTCTGTGATGAACAGTGTGAAGTCCTCGACTGGTCCATCACCAAAATACTCAACAGATTCACCACCTGAACCGACAACAGATGGGTCTGGTCCAGAGACAGGGTCAGGAACTGAGACGCAGCCCGTGGAAGGGGCTGCATTGGCCAACTCGTATCTGGCGGATCTGGCCATCGGGGAATCTAGAACAAACTGCCCGTCTTCTGTCCTGCGCTACACATTTCCAATAGCTGTTGCATTGATCTTCTGTTGGATCAACTTTGTAGATTTGGTTCAGAGTTCCTGATCCTGTCGGAACAGAGGATGATGATGATGGCTGCATTCTGCATAACCAAAATCACCGGCATTCAAATGGGGAAGCCAGTAGCATTCAGAGTAATTCCCAGATTTCATATGTGTATGCAAAGCATGTCATTGGAGGAAATTCAATCAGAAAATTTTGGGCAACCCTGGCTCATTTTGTATCAATTTCTCCTGCATTAGTGGAATATCATTTAAAACAGTAGATTGTAGAAACTGAAAGTCCCTTGGTTCCTCTATAAGCTCCATGACCATAAGAGACATTCTGGACATTTTTGTCATCCAGACAGAGCTCCTAACTGTAATAAGATAAATCAAAGTGCCCATCAAATCGGCATCGGGAAATGGAACCTAACCACAAGGAGAGGACCCACAGTTGAACAAAAACACAGGTTCTTCCAGAACAAAGAAGACGACCCAGGGTCCATCTCCTATGATTCCTCAATTTTTCCATCTTTTACTAATCAACGCATTAAAAAAAGGGGCCGAAACCACACAACTAGAAACTACAGAGATAATATAATCCATCAATGCTGAGCATCTAATCTTGTAGCTTTTTTTTTTCTTTCCATATTGTTATGAATCGTCCTTTAGGCGAACGGCTTTGCCTACTCGTGCGTGTGTGGACCCTCTATTATGCTAAAAAGGAAGATAAGGGCATCTTGCAAAGAGTCAAAAAGTTTTATTACACTCACTAATACAATATCCATAAAGGCAAACGCAAGATGATGTTAAATAAACCAAAAAAAGTATGAGTCTTTGGATGTACCTCTGCGTTATTCCCGGTCCCTAGTTGGCTAATTCGGATTAGTGATCCGGACAAGTAAAGGGTAGGAGTGGTTTTGTTCATAGCTAGGCCAAGAGCCGTCTCCATTCATAAGCACCTGGTGACGCTTCCAAACTTCCGAGTCATAGTTTTCGGTTAAGCTGAAATTCAAACCCGTATCTTCAATTTCCGCAAGAAATTTGCCCAACGAGTCGCCTCTCTTGGGGCTGAAGAATAAAGCCTGAGATGGTTCTTTGGCTTTAAGCAGCATCTTGACGATCCTAGCAAGATGCTCATGGAACTCTTTGAAAAAGGTACTGCAAATAAAAAAAGGTTTTGAGATAAGAGACGAGGAAAATGTATCGGCAAAGCAGTAGACTAAAAAAAAAATTCAAGGATGCGGTAAAGGGAGGTGAGGAACTACCAATCACTTGCCACGATGATGTCAAAAGCGCCGGTTAAATCGGAAAGATCTTCTTGATTCCAATGCAACTCCATGGCTTTCACACTTGTGCTGCCGAATGTATTGGAGTTGGATTTTATATTACGCTCAATATCTGGATGTTAAGTGAAGAACTCGAAGCAAATGCGAAGTAACCAGTTAGAAATTTCCAATTCATGAATCTTAAGACAGGGAAGCCTTAAAACATGAAAATTTCCCTTAAATTACACATGATAGGCACAAGAAGGATACAGTTAACTACTTGAGGATTTCCATCTGAGATCACCACTTCCGATGCTTCAGTGGCAGCAGCGATTACTAAGCCGGCCAACCCATAACCCGCTCCAAGCTCAATTACTCTTTTACCTCTGTAAAATCAGCAACGAACGTCGGGACCAAGGAAAACACGAGATATAGAGAAACGAGAACAGAAAAAAGGAGAAGTTTTCATCAGCCTCTTAGTTGAAACACGACAGAACCTGAAAAGATCACACTGAGACAGGCAAAAGTATGCAAGAGCTTCTTCAGAGGGCCACTGACCTGGTAAAATGACAGCAATTAAGTTACAAAATCATGTCCAAAGGCCAACACTTTCTGCTTAACTTGTGTCGTATTGAAGCATGTACAATGCTATTGTATATCCACAGACCAGAAGTTTAGGCAGATAAAAGAAATCTGCAAAGGGTTTGAGCTGATAGCAGTATTCCCATCACATAGAAACCAATACAAAGCAGCAAGGGAAGAGGCCCAAACTATCCTACCAGTGACTAGTTAGAGATGATTCAAGTACACAGACTCGGGTTCGTATCAGAAATATCATGTACAATTAGCAAGAACAACTTACAGACAAGTCCTGTATTGTCGATGTTGTGCCGATTAGATATCTCAAAGTCGCTAAGATCAGTGCAATTATCGGCTTTTTGTCTGCATGAGAATTTGGGAGAAACACCAAAAGTGAATAACGTACGAGGGAAACGAATAGTTACTGTCCGCATTCTTAATCTGTGAAACAACATCAACAGCTTTGGGCATTGGGTTCGACGAAATGCCAAAAGGAATAGATTAATGGCGAAAATAATATTTCTAACGTCAGATGGAGTTTCGGGGACCCGGAGATGGGTAATGTGTAGCAAACGCAGGACTCCCGAGAATTCTCCGTTTCCGGCGACGAACCCACCACGCGAAAGGGGATCAAGTTGAATCCTTGGCTTGATTTTCTGGAAATCCGCTTGATCCTGTCTTGGGTCTCGGAATCTGAGAAGATCGTACATATGAACCATTCGCCCTGAAAACGTGGAAAGAGAAATGGCTGCGTAAGAAGAATGGGGAATTCACCTGATTTGCGAAGTAGTGCTTGACGAAGGATCTTCCATCTGAGAGAAGAAGAAGAAGAAATCGGCGGTGCTTCCATGGATGAATCGTTCAGGCTTCCGCTGCTTCCTCAGCCGTAGCTCTCCCAAACGACGACGGCGGTCTTGGTCTTCTTACTAAACCCGCTAATTCACCCAGCGGTTTCTAAAGACTTTTTTCCGGAAAAACCGCTGTTCCTGTTAGCGGCTTTGTACGGGGACGAAAGGGTTTGCGAAGGTTGCGGTGATTTAGATGAGTGAGCTTCTTGAGCGAAACAGGAAACCGGGTCGGATTCAGAGACCACGAAGGGCCCAGCAAAAACCCTAAATCGAAATCGGAGGAAAAGAACGGTATGCTGATTGCTGAACTACGGATTGCAGATTGCGTCGAAGGGGCAAGAGCCGTTGCTCGAGAACCTAGACCGATCTTGTCGGATGACAGCCGTTCGCGGTGCGGAAAGTGTCAGAAAAAGGTGAATGAGATAGGGGAAAGAGGTGTTTGTTGGTTGCGACGGTGGCGAAGGAGAATTCGCAGCCGGAGCTGAATGGGGAGAGGAAGGAGATGGTGTAGAAGCAATAAACTATGTACTGGATGCAGTTGGCGGCCAACGTGGAGGATTACAGTGGGATGACGAGAAGCTGATCGCTTCGGGTTCTGGGCAACTGATAAAAGGGATTCAGTGGTGCGGAGACGTGACCATGGATCAGCTCATTCATGAAGTGGAGGATGACGACGAAGCGGAAAAGGAGATTAGCCATGACAACTTGAAAAGATGAAGAGGTATGATTACTGTAATCTGCTTTGTCTCGTTTGGTGTTGGGGGTTGTTTTTTGATCTCTGTTTTTCGATTCAAAAAGTGGTTTTTGTGGTGTTTCTGTTTCTGGAAAGAGAAGTCTCATTGTTTGATGTGTAAGCATAGTAGTGGAATGTTTGCGCTAGGTAGTGGGGTTTGACTTCTATTTTAGGAAATCTTGGATGAAATCTTGTCGATATCTGTTTGAACTTATACCGGAGACTTTCGCTCAAGTCTTGTCCAAAATATGGTTGATCTTCTCTAATGGGTTTGTTATGTCTTGAAGAATGCGAAAGTGTTCACACCTTGGGGATGCTATAGTGTTTGTTTTCTGCCATTGTCGTGGTCTGGTCCTGAGTTAAGGTTGCTTGATGTCTGGTTTTGCAGAGTGAAGAGGATGACTGGAGGAAGTTGCGGGTGATGTCTGGTCATCCATTGATTTGGAAAATGGATGAACACTTTTTTTAGTCTCTCTCCGATTGAGATTTTGGAACGTCTAACATGAACTTTGAGGTTTGTTCTTCTTGCAGGTACGGAGCTTTCAAGATCCTCAAGGCATGGGATAAGGACATCATGGTATAGGAGCAATGCGAACATGAACTGTATGCTCAAACTCCAGATGCCAAAGCGATGAGGAGAGCGGAGACGGGAACTGGACTGCAGGTTCCCATGTAATGTCATCTGATGAAGCCAAGTGCTTGGAGGTCGGAATGGATGCTTATCTGACAAAATCAGTTGACCTCAAGCTCATGGTCTCCATCATTCTTTCCCTCGCCAAACCATCAACATCTTAACTTGCTTTCCACTTGAGCTTAACAAGAGAGCTTCTTAGCTTCAAGAACCTGGAACTGTGTATATATTATATATAGTTAATCATAGTGATTTGATAGTGTTAGAAGACTCTTAAACAAGGAGAGGTTCTTGTTTATATCCCTTTTTTGTTTTGTGATCGTGCAATTAAATATGATGTTTACAAATGCATAATAAATCGATTCAAGTTTCATGGTTCTGTTCTTGTCTGAATGATGGAGAGGAAGGGAAAG